GGGGGGGGGGGGGGAAGAGATGTCTGAAGGAGGAATTTCGATTCAGTTTTAAAACTTTTCTTATGTGTTTCAGGTGTAGTTTTGCCTTGAATGCGCTTGGTTTCGTATGGACGACCAGAAGCAGCTGTTTCTGTTTGCATTCCCGATACCGCTTAATGAGGATCGCTTAATCGATCGGTGAGTCATCATTATTTGTCCTGGAAACATTGTGACCTTTTTTGGATGGTTGCATATTTGGACGCCTAAGTTGGGGGAGGGGGATACATGGTATTTGGTTAGCGCAACAGAATATACAGAAGGAAGGGAGGGGGAGGGGATGCTATTTTTTGGCGAAAGTTCTGGGGAATTTTTCCCACTCCCACTGCTACCCGCATGCACTGTTCGGTCTATACATACAGCTAAGGGATGAAACACAGACTGCGCCATAAAATGTCTTCACACACGCATGACGTTCAAGTGAAATCCTTCTATTCTTCTATTTCTATTCTCTCATTTTGGGAGTTCTGGAAGAATCATGGGTGGGTAATTCTGGTAGGGGCAGAATTTGTAATCCCTCATTTTGGGGACTGGAAAAAAAAAGAGAACCTCCTCCACCTTTCCTGGGCTATTTTTTTGCCGTCCTTTTTTGGCCCCGTACAAATAGCACTGCCCGATTTTTTTGAAATACGTTTTTTTTCGAAAAAAATTTGAGTATTTTACTTACAGAATCAAAGAAGCATCGAGTGCTCGCAACCAACATGGAGCCGTAACAACTGTGGCACTTGCCAGCGTCGATGCGAACAGTATTGTGCAAGTTGTCGTTGGACCAACTCATGTTGCATTTCTTTTTGAGGTATTTTTTTTTTACCGCACTACTCGAGAACCAAAAAAGCTAGGAAGCTGAAAATTTGAGGTAGCGTTCCCCACCAAAACGCGACCCCGCAAATTTAAATTCAGCCTCCCCGTACCCGCGGGTAACATGTATGGTCCCGTAAAAGTTTTGGCGGGTGAAATTATTATCTCAGGAACCACAAAATCTACGAAGCTGAAATTTTAGGGTAATGACCCCTCGTCCACGTACGACCTTGCAAACGCAAATTCAGCGTCCCCCTTCTCTCGGGTATGTATCATCTACGGCCACGTGAAAGTTTTGGCGGATAAATTATTGTCTCCGGAACCACAAAATCTACGAAGCTGAAATTTTAGGGTACTGACCGCTGCCCATGCATGACAGGCAGTCGTTCGATGGGCTGAATTGCACAAAACGCATGATCGCACTGGCTAGTTTGGTGCGTGTTGCTATTTATTCTTTTCTTTTTGCAGTGTGGTCGTGTTGCGCGATTGAAGTATACGCTGACAACAGCACCAAAGGAGGATGGCAGTGGCGGCAGCGACGATAAAAGCTGTGGTGGACCGGGCGGAAATGCAGGCGGAGGAAGTGGTGGCCCAGGTGGAACTGCTGCTACTGCTGCTGCAGCAGCAGGTGCTAGTGGAGGTGGTAGCGGTGGCTCAGGCAATCAACCAGGTTCGCTCGGTTCGTTTTGTTTCGGCATAGACGCATATAATTTATACTTACGACTTCGAAAAGTTGTTGTTTGATTGCCATTTTCGTTCGCTTTTTGATGGCGTAGCTGGCAACATTCCCATTATGCTGAATCGGAGTTTAATTGTAAGAAAAAGATGGTTAAAAATGCTAAATTTTTTATTTGATAGGCTTAAAAATTGACTTAATAGACATAAAAAATAGGCTTAAGAAAAGAGTTTTAAAAAAGTAATAAAAAAGTTAAAGATAAAAAAATAAGGGAAAAAGAAAAAATAAGAATTTTTTTTACTTTATAGGAGGTAAAATTTTTATATAAAAATAATTTTGTGGAAGATAGAAGTAAATAAAAGATAAAAAAAATTTTACAAAAATAAGAAAAAGATAAAAAATAAGAAAAAAAAGAGACAAAATTTTGTTCAATAAAAAGAGCCATTTCTTTACTTGCTGGAAGATACTACTTGAAAAAATGAAATTATTGTATAATAGTGCTGCTCCGTTGATTTATACTGGTTTGTTTTGGCAAAAAAAAAAAAAAACAATCCTGTTGCAGGAGGGGTGCTGAGTCGTGGCGCAAAAATCAGACGGGTAATGATGACGGCACGAAGGACGGGCGAACGTGCCGGTGTGATCGTGGACCGAAGTAGGCCGCTGGTGCCGGCCAGTGCCATCCCCGAAGATCTCATTGCTCAAGCCCAGGTTTTTTTTTTTTTGTTAACATTAAATTATATTTTTGTAGGCAAATTTTTGATTTTTGGCCACTTTGAGGTCTGGAATTGAGCCTTTTTTTACCTCTTGCTCCTGCGAATATTCGCTAAAAGTTGGTGAAGATTAGCTGAAAATCTACTCCGCTTACTCAATTTACAGAAGAGGGAAATTTATGTTTTAAAAAAAAAACATACACAGTGTGGGAGGCCAAGTTGAGTGATTTGGGATATGAATGCTGTTGCTTTACTGACAGCATGACGTATTCGAGGGATTTATACCCTGGGTATATTGTCGCCTGCGGATTTATATCCCGAATTTAAAGAGGGTGCGGAAATTTTGTGTTTTTTTGTGAAATTTTTGAAAAAAAAATTTTCTTAAAAAAGTTGAAAATTGAATTAAAACTGAAGAAGTTGAAATTTTTTAAAAAATCTTTTGGAGTTGAAAGAGTTTTGAAAAAATTGAAACTTGAGAAAATTTTTGAAACTTGTTAATTTGAAAAAGAAATTGAAAGATTTTTTTGAGGTGCGAAATTGGGATGAATAGGTAATATCCAGAGATTAATTGTGGATTTTTTTTAGGTTGTTTTACAAGGTAAATCACGGGACGTTATTGTACGCGAGCTTCAGCGAACGAATTTGAATGTGAATGAAGCCGTGAACAATCTGCTTAGCCGGGATGATGAAGAAGGCAAGTTTTCAGTGACTTCCACAACTGCATCGTTCTGGTCGAAGATCGAGGGGAAAGAGCGGAGAAGGGGGGGGGGGGGGGGGGGGGGGGGGGGG